GTATTTCCATCTTGGCAATGTTCAGTCTTCTGATCCATGAACTCCGAATTTCGTTTATTTCTTTAACTTTGTTAAAATGATATTTTGTAGCTTAAGTTAAAAATATTATACTTTACTTGGTAAGTTTCTTCCTAAGTATTTTATTTTAAATGCTATTGTAAGTAAAATTTTAATTAATTTGAAATTGTCTTTTGAAATAGGAGGAGTATTTACATTTCAGAGGTTATGTAGACCTGTAACATCACACAAAACTGTGACTTCAATCTGGGGATCATACACACATACTAGATTTGCAAAGGACACTAAACCTACTTACCACTTTGAACAGAAGTAGAAAGCTTTGCATGACCCAAAAGAAAGGATGGATAGTAAGAAAACAATATATATTTATATACAAACATTTATAAATATGAATGTATAAACTAATATATTGATAAACTTTATTTTGAGTTGCATTAGCAACACCATATGATTCACAAAATATTTAACCAAATTCTGATATTTTAAATATTGATTTTAAATACTCATGCTAATTAAGTACACTTGTTAAACCTATTGATTATATGGAAGTTAATGAGTAAACCTTTGAGAAAATGTCCAGTTTCACTTGAAATGATTGCATTTCATTTTATGCTGTTACATAAGTCAGATGAAGAATTGGGTTTTTGAATACTGGATTGGCAAAGTAGTCATCAAAATGATTATTAATACTATGCTTATTTATAGAGCAAGATGAAAAGAGCTAATTAAGGATGGTATGACAAGATATAAATTATCTTTGTGTTATCTTTAAAATTTTCCCACATGTATAGTAATCATAATGTTGAAGATACAACCTAATATGTGGGGAAAAGACACTGTAATAGAGGTATTACCTTGAGTGAGAATTTTGTAGTGCTTACTAAAAATGATAAATTACAGTGGGACCTTTAATTGGGAAATATTTTTGAAGCCCTTTTATCAGGAGCTATTAGAACTACACAGAAGAAAATTATTCTATAAAAAATAATGTCTTTAATATATGTCTGGGAAGATTAAAGATTAAAAAAATGTAGGTACACTCAGAAAGTTTTGGTTTTGTGGTTGTTGGTATACTTGTCTGCATTAATAATAGAATTTAACAGCAGAAGCTGGTTGATAGCTCATATTCTATAAAATGAACTGGACTGGGGCCTACAGAATGGATCTTAATATGTGGGGAAAAGACACTGTAATAGAGGTATTACCTTGAGTGAGAATTTTGTAGTGCTTACTAAAAATGATAAATTACAGTGGGACCTTTAGTTGGGAAATATTTTTGAAGCCCTATTATCAGGAGCTATTAGAACTACACAGAAGAAAATTATTCTATAAAAAATAATGCCTTTAATATATGTCTGGGAAGATTAAACATTAAAAAAATGTAGGTACACTCAGAAAGTTTTGGTTTTGTGGTTGTTGGTGTACTTGTCTGCATTAATAATAGAATTTAACAGCAGAAGCTGGTTGATAGCTCATATTCTATAAAATGAACTGGACTGGGGCCTACAGAATGGATCGCTGTTGGTGAACATTGTCAAGACAGGAATGGGCTATGGTTTTCTCTCTGGAAGGTCTATCAATGTAGCTATCATCCATTTGTTAGAACACATGTTTAGACACAAATATCCTAATATCAGAATAATGCCAAAAGAGAGGAAGACATATTTTAAAATATTTTTACTCATTATGAAAGATGCTATAATTTGTTAGTATAGAAAAGCAAGAGGGCTGAATGATCTTTGTATTTTATAGCATAGTTGTGAAAAATAAGAAGTTTAATTTCTATTAATACTACTAATCTCAATTAGTATTATTTTTAATTTGGCATCATATCTAAAATAAGTTGTGTCTCAAATACTAATGTATTAACAAGTACCTGACTCAAGTGTTTGCTATTTGTTCCTCTCTGGGGTGGATATTAGTTTGTTCACAGACTTCAACTATGGTACCAAAACACAATATAGTTATACATAATAGATTCCTTGATGAAATGTAGTCATATATTTTTAACATGTTTACTGAAGCATACATAGTTTTCTCCATTATATCACAAAATGTCATACATATTTTATGACATTGTTTTTTACTTAAAGAAAATTTACAGTTGTTAAAAGATGTGGTATTTTCATTATCTTATAACTTTTATTTTTGGAAACATTTTTTCACTAGTTGAGTTTCAAAAAGTTGATCAAGAAAAATGTAATGCTTAGCTTATAATGATGAATACTTATCTTCTGTAATGAGGCCTATCTGAGTATATTTCTTTGTTAATAAGTCATTTCCTTTTAGAAAATAAAGTGCTTTGAGAATTAAAGAATCAGACATGTGGTTAGACAAGTTGACCTTTAAGGTCTCTACCAAACTTGAAGTTTAATGTTTCTGAGAATTTTTTTTTTACTGTCATTTTCTTCAATAGTAACATTATAAATCTATAGAAGCCCCAAACAAAATGCAATTTTGGTTTTACAATAATTAGCTTTGAAACATAACCTTCACAAAACATATTTTATTATCTTATAAGAGTCCATTAGGGTATAAAATCAATATTTTAGCCACTCAGTGGAGCATTTCATTTTTCTCAATATTTTTGAGAGAAGCCACTTTCAATTTAACTTTTTTCTTGCCTAATGGAATCTTATACATAAATAAAATAACTTCTCTAAATCATTAAAAGCTAATAGAAAATTAACAGGGTTATGATAGATTGCTTTCCCTTTGTGGTGAACAGACAAGGTAGAACTAATAATCTTGAGTGCCCTTAGGACATATGAAGTACCATCTACTTTCTCAAAGGAGGATATTTGAAATTAAACATAATGAATTCTCTACTTCACCTGAGGTGGGTTTGATGGCCCTCTGCAAATGTTGAACTTAGAGGCTACAATTCTCTGCCCTCCACTATTCACACCACATTCAAGAAAGGAAAGCATCCTTAAGCAGTAGATATATTTATGAAAACAATCTCAGTCACATAGTTCCCAAAAGGGAGGCAGTCTTAAGAGTGATGATAGAATATTGCTGACAGTAGACAACTTGGGGGACATACTTTGGTATGAGATAGTTGTCACTACCTTCTCAGTAGATTCTCAATAGACGGCTCTACTGGAGGTGTTCACAGAATGGGAAGGAAAGCTTAACTTGAGTTGCATTAGTTTTCCATTGCTGTGTAATAACTCCATATTTAGCAGCTTAAGACAAGAAAATACTTACTAGCTCACACAGTTCCTGTAGATTGGAAATTCAAAAGCAGCTTAGCTGGGTTTTTCTGGCTCAGGGTCTCTCATGAGTTTGCGGTCAAGGTCTCATTTGGAGCTGCAGTCATCCGAAGGCTTGCCTGGGGCCAAACAACTCACTTTCTAGGTGACACCCTCACATGCATGGCAAGTGGGTGCTGGTTGTTGGTAGGAGGCCTCAGCTCCTTTCCATGGGGCTCCCGTAGAATTCTCATGATAGTCTAATTAGTTCCTTGAAGTGAGCAATCCAAGAGAGAACAAGGCAGAGGCCAAAATGCATTGATGACTTAACCTCAGAAACCACATGTCATCATTTCTGGAATCTATTATTGTTTACACAAATCAGCCCATTTAAAGTGAGGGAGAACTCCATGAGTGCATGATTCCAGGAAGTAAAGTTATTGGGGGGCAACTTGGAGCCAGGCTATCACAGGATATGGTGATTTTTCTTTTGACCTTTTATAGAGCTGGTCTTGGAAAAACAGTTTTTCATTTTGTTTTGTTTTAAACATTCCTTCAGCTCTTATCTCTGTGCCTCTTTGAGCAATCCTTTTTTTCCAGATCTCAGCACTTTCAAGTTGGCTCCTTCTACCTCAGGGGTACCCCTCACATTCTTCCTTCCTCACAAATTCAGTAAATGTTTGAGGATGAATTGAGTGTCCATCATTGTTTGTCCACATCAATAAACAAAATTGCTCTATTCATTGAGCTTACCTTTTATATAAAAGCTGCTTGTCATAATAAATTGTTGATCCATAATTTCTGTTTTGTTTTTTTTTTTCTACAGCATTTGTGAGATTTGATGCTATTTCCAGGTAGATGATGTCAGAATTGATTTGACTTATAGGACAAACAGTTGGTTTCCCAAAATTTCTTTGTGGTTTAGGAAACCCCTTTCCCCCTGTCCCCCACATTGGAATTGGGTCCAGAACCTCTAGTAAATCAGTTTAGGGTAAGGGGTCAATGACTGGCAAAATTCCTTTAAAATAACACTTTTGTTTTAATAGAGATAGTCTATGGTCTAATTCAAAAGAGTGAGAGGGAACCCTAAGGCCTTGACATAGAAATGGTACTAGGGGATCTCACTCATTTGTATCAATTTCACTGCTTTAAGCCTACTTTTGTTTAATGGCAACATCATCAAGCTGTCTCACTCAGCAAGATCTTTTCCACAATGTGAAAATGCAAGGCTGAGGTGAATAAGTGAATTTGAATGTTAAACAGAGGCAAAACCATTCATATAGTTGTTACTATGGACACATGAGGAGCGTCAGAGATTAACGTAGCTAGTTTTGCCATTGCCTTTCAAAACTGACACGGTGAGATTTGAATTTCCCCAAATATGGTAGAAAGACTTGATTCATTGTTTATATGTGTATTTATATCCTAGCCAGTGTTTCAGAGCATTTATATCTGAGTTTAGCTCTAACACGTTTCTTTCCATGAGACTTTTCTTTCTTTCTTTTTTCCGTTTTAAAGCTGTTTGGATCAATGCGTCTTTCTCCAAATGTCAGATTGGTCAAAATCAAGGAGGTAAATGGAAACTAACGACACTCATCAAGTTGATGATGTGAATGATTTATTGGCCCCGATCATTTAATACTTTCATAAAGTCAGGGAGAGAAACTCTGGGCTCTTATTATGGTAAACTGTCCTGTCTGCATTCAGTGATTGATCACAAACCTGTGGCTAGGATTAGGATATGACAAATGGGGGGAAAGACTCATTAATATTTTATACCCACAGGTGGAAGACATGCAGTGGGCCAACAGAGAGCACACTCACCCCGCGTCGGTCTGCAGCCTGCCCTGTAAGCCCGGCGAGAGGAAGAAGACGGTGAAAGGAGTCCCTTGCTGCTGGCACTGCGAGCGCTGCGAAGGTTACAACTACCAGGTAGACGAGCTGTCCTGTGAACTCTGCCCTTTGGATCAGAGACCCAACGTCAACCGCACAGGCTGCCAGCTTATCCCCATCATCAAACTCGAGTGGCATTCTCCCTGGGCGGTGGTGCCTGTGTTCGTTGCCATCTTGGGAATCATTGCCACCACCTTTGTGATCGTGACCTTTGTCCGCTATAATGACACGCCTATCGTGAGGGCTTCGGGCCGCGAACTTAGTTACGTGCTCCTCACGGGGATTTTTCTCTGTTATTCAATCACCTTTTTGATGATTGCAGCCCCAGATACCATCATCTGCTCCTTCCGGCGGGTCTTCCTAGGACTCGGCATGTGTTTCAGCTATGCAGCCCTCCTGACCAAAACAAACCGAATCCACCGAATATTTGAGCAGGGGAAGAAATCTGTCACAGCACCCAAGTTTATCAGTCCTGCCTCCCAGCTGGTGATCACCTTCAGCCTGATCTCCATCCAGCTCCTGGGAGTGTGTGTCTGGTTTGTTGTGGACCCACCACACATTATCATAGACTATGGAGAACAGAGGACTCTAGACCCGGAGAATGCCAGGGGAGTGCTCAAGTGTGACATCTCTGATCTCTCGCTCATTTGTTCACTGGGGTACAGTATTCTCTTGATGGTTACTTGTACTGTCTATGCCATTAAAACAAGAGGAGTTCCAGAGACTTTCAATGAAGCCAAACCTATTGGATTTACTATGTACACCACCTGCATCATTTGGTTAGCTTTCATCCCCATCTTTTTTGGTACAGCCCAGTCAGCAGAAAAGGTAAGAGATGCATTTGCCATTCGTTTTCCTGTAATTAATTTCTTCCTTTAGGATGATTCCCCTGCTTTCGCTTTGGCTCACTTGTATTTTCCCAAGAATCCTGGTGTGTTATATATATTCAAGGTCACTTTGCTCTGAATATTTGTAGACTGAAGCTGAATTTCCATGAAAAACACTTTAATGTGTTTTCCTTGGCAAGGTTGAAGATTGACAGAGCTCACATCACTTTCTTGGTCCTTCCTCCCAGCTCTGTTATCAACTAACATAGCTGTTCTTTTCCAAATGTTAAAAGAGGAAGGGAGAAAGGGCAGACATGATTCAGAGGAGTGAGCTCTGCCAGAGGTATCTCAATGCATGACAAATGCCTCCTTTTCCGGTTCTAATGTGACTCTGAAAGAAAGCTATTTCTTAATAATCATGATGGTTTTAATCATAGAAGCAAACTGCACCAATACAAAGAAATTAAATGGCTTAGTTCAATCTGAACCATCTTACTATGTCTCTTTAGTACCCATTCTTATCATTTTTCCATATGTGGAGGATGGTGGGGAAGGTTTAAGAAGCAATGGATAATTATATAATACAGTTTATATTTTTTAGAAATTGAAGATCATTTGAATTTCCCAAAATCATTTTATTTTGTTTCTAATCTTCCATAAACTTCTCCATATAAAACACACTGCATGTAAAGAACATCTGTGTTTGAAAGGAAATACGTGCTGAACTGAATGTATATGTATCTATGTATAGAAAAGCAAAGGATTAATGTTAACCATGAATTCAAGGTTTGGGTGGTGTGCCGGAGACAGACAGCTTGTAAAACAGAGGCAAATGCTACCATTCTAAAGGGATAGCTCTTCAGCCTTAGTTGTATACGAGAAAGTTCTTCTCTTGGTATAAAGATGTAAAGATTGTTACACTCTCCATCATCAGAAGTCATGAGGAATTCAAAACATCTGGGGTGGGGGTGAGAGTGGCGATTATATTCCCTGGATTCTAACATTCCAAGTAAGGTCCTGCATAACTCTTAAAAATTTCAACTAATTCAGAGGAAAAATACTCAACAAGAGCATGGAGAGCTCATTAGTATGAGCATTCAACCCTTACTCGATCAATGTGGTCTTCAACTTTGAAAGATAAAAAACGTACTTCAGCAAATGCACCAGTGAATAGAGCAAATTTGCCATGGGTTCCAGACCTGTGACCTTTCTTGACTTGCCTGATCTGATGGAAGTCCTTGAAAATGGCAGGAAAGTAAAGTAAGACAGTTTGGGGCTCTAAAGCTAACAACTAGAAAACATTATATTTTGGCATATGCAGATGGGAATCTATTAGGATCAAATTTGCAAATTTTACATAGGAAGAAATTTGTGTCTCTCAAAGTTTATTGGATCTGTTTGGATGTGGTTAGTTGGACTAGTTGGGAAAAACAATATTTTTCAGGGTCTGGAAATGTCCACATTGAGTGAATTATTAATAACATCAATTTAAGTGGTACCTGTATTTGTGTTTGAGTATATTTTAAATATATTGTTTTACCTGGAGAAAGCCAGAGATAGTTGATTTTGCTTTCTTGTGGACAACAATTTTTTTCCCGCTGTGCTGGGTCTTTGTTGTTGCTTGGACGACTCTTTAGTTGCCGTGAGTAGGGGCTACCATCTAGTTGTGGTGTGCAGACCTCTCATTGTGGTGGCTTCTCTTGTTGTGGAGCACAGGCTCTAGACACATAGACTTCAGTGGTTGTGGCTCCCAGACTCTAGAGCACAGGCTCAATAGTTGTGGCATAGGGGGAACCCAGTTGGTCCACGACATGTGGGATCTTCCCCGATCAGGGATTGAACCTTCATCTTCTGCACTGGAAGGCAAATTCTTCATCACTGAGCCACCAGGGAAGCCCAACAATAGATATTTAGCCNTCCCCCTTTTTTTTTTTTTTTTGGCTTTCACTCCCCTTACATTTTATAAATGACAGCCTGCTCTTACTTTTCATGTTGTGACTTCAAGGGCTTGAGGAAGCAAATATAAGTGCTTATAAGATGTTATTTCTATTCAGAGAACTCTTTCAGTGACTTGATTTTTAGAATAAATAAAATCATGGCCCTACATCAAGCTATTGAACACCCTCATAGTAATTCAAACATGGATCATACTAAATTATTTTTTTAAGGTAATTGAAAAAAAAAATGACCACTGAATCTCAGATCAGAAATTCTGCAGAGTTGCAGCTGTCCCCTGAGGAGCAGTGGTGGAGACAGTAAGAGTTTCTGGATGAAATGGACACATGAACAAATTACGGGGTGGAGGCTGCCCAGTGCTGCAGGGACTATGGGATTTCTACCACTCCATCCAAAAACCTCAAGTTTATGTACATACTTATGGGTGTGGATGTATCAGTGCCTCCAGAGAGATGACTGAATGCTAGCTAGCCAGAATCCCTTTTCTTCTTTTAGCTTTGTGGAATCATAGTAAGTCAAAGAAGCATAATGTAAGACCAATTTATAAAATATGCTAATTGGAATTTATTTGTATTGATAATATGATTGAACGTGGAGATGACTGAAGAAATCAAGAAGAAACACTAATTTTAGGAGTTTTCAGAACATTGGAAAGTGCTCAAATTGTTTAGTTAGGCTTGGAGATGCTTAATTTAGACCAGCTCTACACCAAGAGCTATTATATGATAAGTAGCTGAGATTTACTACTGAAGTCTTTTGTATAATACACTTATGTGTCATCCTAACACTTCACATTCAAATTTGCTTCCTGCTATTCTCTGTCAAAGTATCTAATTATTCAAAACAATACACAAAATGTTTGAAACTGTTTATTTTTTTTGCATTGCTAAAATTACTGACACAGATATTAAAATTGAATAAAACATTTATATCTCTAAAGGCAGGCTTTGTCTAAGTTTTATTGACTTTGGAAGACCAAAGAGTGGGTCAGCTCTCCACTCCCATTTATAATGCTCAGCCAGTTAGCTCCGCGTTATCGGCTTGAAGTGTTCGCCACAGTCAGGCAGCATACACAGCCATTAATTCAGCAGATCCTTATTGAGCATTGTGTCCAGCATCGTGCTAATTATTGAGCCATGTCAGTCTGATTCCCAGAGCCTTCCCGGTACAAAGGCCCAGGCTGGCTCCCAGCCGATGCTGTCTGACGCCTGCCAGCTCCAGCAAGTGCCAGGCTCAAGGGCAGGAGAAAATCAAGCTCAAGGGCAGGGGGAGATGGTGAGGAGTCAGATGTGAGATGAGAAAGCCAAATGAGAGCTGTGTATCCTGTGACACAGAGTTCATAATGTGGAAGATAGCAGAAGAGCAAAATTTCTTCCAGTATGCTTTGCATACTGGAAATGACAACCCAGTCCAGTATTCTTGCCTGGAAAATTCCATGGACAGAGGAGCCTGACGGGTTACAGTCAGGTTGCAAAGAGTCAGACACGACTGAGCTACTAACACTAACACACTATACATTGAATTCTGTTTCATAGAGACATATCTATAGGAGAAAACCCATCTAGCCACATAGGTCTCTCTGAAGTTATTACAGAAGTAGTAATAAAGAGTAAAATTAGTTGAATAATTTAAACAGATGTTTTAGAAAACCTCTGAGTAAAATCCAGTTATAAAGGGACTTTTGTAGCATTCATGAGGACAGAAAGCTCTCTAAAGTATGTCTTCATTCAATGACAAAACATTATTTAAATTTCCCCACATTCTTTTTCTTTCAGATTTTAAAATCAAGATGAATCATATTTTTTCCTAATACATTTTAGTGACATCATTTATTAGCTTTGTACCTAGTGCTGCATTCTGCTAAATCATAGTTTAATTACACTTTTTTTTCCTATAAAAAATCAGCCTGAGGGGAGGGGCGGAGACACTGAGGCATGGACAGCGACCAACATGAACTTTCATAATTAGGTTGAAAAGACAAAAATTAAAGATATAATTAATGTAATAGTCAGGAAGAGAATACTCAAGGGTGGTTAAGGGTTGTTAGGATGGCAGAAATATCTTAAATGCATATTTTACCATCTCTAATTGAGTTCATAAAGCCTAGATAATCAGACAAAGGTTATGACACTGCCAAGCTCCAAGGAATACAGTGCTTCAGCCAGAGCACGGGGTGGAAACAAAACAAAACACCCTAGAGACAGAAAAGAAAATAAAGCTCCAAAATGTCAAACAGCCCATATGTCCTGAACCAACCTTTCTTCCTTCACCTGGATGAGTTGTGCAGCCATCTAGTACCCTAAGTCAGAAACCTGGTGTTATGTTAGACCCCTCCCTCTCCTCACCTCTGCTCCCTCTATCCACCCCTTTATTTCCTCTTCTCACCTTCCAGTGTCATCCTTTATCAGTTCATGGAGGGTAAGTTGTGTCTGTCTGATGTGTATCTGAATGAATATGTCTCTTAACGTTACAGCCTTTCGTGTAGTATGTTCTCAACTAATGCCTATTGAATGAGGAAATGGAGTGCCTTCTTTGCACATTAATAGCATGATATAATAATAAAAATGCTTGATTGTTATTTTATTATTTAAGTTAGAGTATGACATAATGGTAACTTTATATAGTGATCATATTGTGATTCCCATTATAACTTTTTTTCCTGAAAAATATTTTTCGTTGAATGATGGGCCAAATGCATTTCTTTAAAAATTTTTGTCAGTATCACTTATTGTGATATAGGACTGCTAAATATTTAGGGAGAAATATAAAAAGGAATTCTTAAAGTTGTCCTTAGTTCTGTCTAAAATGCACAACTCAAAGGAGAACTGATGCTATTTTCCCAGATGCTTTTTCCATGACAAAAGCATCTCCCTTATGTTTTCACTCAATCTGTTGATAAGAGCAGAAGAGTGCAAGGGTGCGGAGGTGGATGAGTGGAGACAGGAAGAGTGTGAACTCTGGAGTGAGAGGAGGTGGGTTCAAATTCTAAAGCTCTGCTGATCTAGCTGAGAAAATGCAGTGAAGTGGCTCCATTTGTGCAGATAG